CGCTGTGGAGAGATCCCCACGCAGCCTGCCGAAACCTGCAGCAATGGCCCTGCCAAGGAGGCCGAAGCCTTTGGATGTGTGTCTGAGGCCCTGGGCCGCCCGAAAGAAAGCAGTTGCGCTCTACACCCTGCGGCCCACACTTTCTTCCTACTTAGCCATGCAACAGGAAGTTGGTCAGCGTTGGAAGCTTGCGGCCTCTCTCTTGGCATACAAAGGCAGCATGACTTAAATCTGTTTAAATCTGGGGTTTTTTCTTTCTTTTTTTCATGTTGCCCAGCCAGGGACCTTTGGGAAATCCAGTGCTGCAAAAGGAAAAGGAGAAACAGCACATTCCCAACACTCTCATGGGACTGCTGACGTGGATCCCTGGCACAGCCGTGACTGCCAAGATGATCTCCATTTGCCTTTGCTATTCAAACCCACCCACCCACCCCGCCTCTCCCGGTGGGAATCAAGGCCAGGCCAGGAGGCCGCCTACGGCCCAGCGGAGCCTGGCAGCCAGGAGGGCAGCAGCTACAGCACAAAGCAAGCGCAGAGTCCCCACCTGGGAGCCAGACCAGAGCCAGGCGGAGGCTGCAGGGAGCCACCTTGGAGACCTTAAGGCTCCCGCTGGCCTCTGTGAGATTGTGAAATGAACCAGCAGCTGGGAGGAAGGGAGAAGAGGAGCGACCTCGGCTTCTGCCCGGGAATCACTCCAGATCTCTGAGGGAAGGGCTTCAATCTGACAACAAAAGAAGGTGGTTTCTCTGGGAAGGCGGATTGGCGGTGATGGTGGGGGGATGGGGTGGAAAGATCTGGAAAGAGAACATTCCAGACCACTGAGTCAACCTGCCCAGGGCTGGGGGTGAATTGGTGGATACAGTGGCTTCTTCAGTAGCCTCAAAACGGATCCCAAGCCCAGGGGGCTCAAAAGAAGGGGCTCTGCAGAGGTGGCCTGTCTCTGCCCCCCATGCTGCAACCTCGGGGGGGGCTCGTTCTGGGTGGGAGAAGCTCCAAGTTCAGAGGTTTCTCTGTACTTCTGCCAAACCTGCTCTTCGGGCCACTATTTATTTGATATAAACCAGGGGTAGGCAACCGTGGCTCTTTTATGACTCGTGGACTTCAACTCCCAGAATTCCTGAGCCAGCCATGCTGAGGAAAAAGGGAGATGTTTTCAAGCTGAGCCATGCTGACTCAGGAATTCTGGGAGTTGAAGTCCAGGAGTCCTAAAAGAGCCACGGTTGCCTACCCGATATTATAAACTATCTGCTTCATCGGGCGATTCCTGGAAGACTGCATGGATCTTCAATTATACCTGGTTGTCAAGCGAGTCTAGGACAAACGCAAGAGAACTTTTTAAACGAGAAGTTAATGGTTACTGCGGTTGCAAATCCAGCTTCTGAAAGACTGGGTAACTCAGGACTGGGGGGAGAGTCTGGAAAAAGGATTGATGGGCTGCCGCCCCCCCCCCCCAGACTCCATCTCCCGGAGTCAGACCACAGTTTCCTATTTGAACTGTAACTGAAGAGACGTGAGCGTCCAGATGGCCTTTGCACCCAAGGAGACAGACATGGAGGGGGGAAAGAGCAGCCCCCATCCATTTGCATGGCCTTGCAATCCAGCCTGGGCCTCAAAAGCCTCTTTTAGGTGGGAGACGTGATTCACACCTCCAGAGACCCTGACCCAAACACTGTGGGAGGGTGTGCAACCTCATCCCCCCCCCCCAGAGGAATCTAGGAAAGTATTTGTCCCTGCTTCTTCAACCTGTCCCCAGCTGGAAGGACATGGCACTTTGGCTTGGCTGGAATGGAGACCAGAAGCAAAGCAAGGACGTTTTTTCTGGAGCCAACTCTCACCAAGGAGAATCTTTGCAGTAACAACAGCAACAAAAAGGGGGACCAATCTCCATCCTAAGCACCGACCAGGCTAGAGAGCATCCTAAAGAACTACCCCCAACCCCACGCTTCATGTTTGGAAAGACCCAGCCGGGCTTTGAGCTGCCATGACCAAAAGTTCAGAAAGCTTTCAGCATCTTGGCCAGAGAATGGGGAGGTGGGGGGGGGGGAGGCGTCTCAAGGTGCTACAGATGCCATGCAGGAGGTCTGTGGGCCTGAGCTGCCTTTTCTGCTTTGAAAGCCAGCAACTAGAGGCTGTTAGTCTTAGCAGTGCCTCGCAGCCAAGTCCGTCTCCAGGCTGGCTGCTCCTTGGCACCGTTCCTGGGGTTGAATCCCCTGCGGAATGCAGCGTGGCCCCAGAGAAGGAGCCTGCTGCTCTAGGAATAGCAGGGAACGGATTCAATAGCTGCTGTACTCCATTTCCCAGCCAGCTTTACTTAGCCACTGTTTTTTTTGGCCAGGGACTTCAGCAGCCCTGGCAGCCCGTTTTTTCAGGAGCAAAAATACAAGGGCAACCAGGGCTGGCTTTATCTATTCCCCCACACAACGATACGATTGGGTCCCACCCTGGCTGCATTGGAAAGGGCCCTGAAACCCTCCATCTTTCCCCAGGCTTCCGGGGGGTTTTTTAGGGCACACCGCCCAGGGTTCTTGTAGAACCTGGCAATCTGAGATAAATAGCTACAAGTGGGCAGGAAGCAAATTACTCATGTTGCGAATGTGCATGCGGGTAGATCAAACCGTTTTTCAATTAGGCACTTGGATCCTGGCCTGTGAGAGGACTCACGCCTTCCCCAGGGAAACAGGTCAGGCTGTACAGAAGACCTCCGACATATCTGAGAGAGCCAGGGTTCTGCCAGCAGCTAAGCTGGTTTGCTATCTCTGAGTCTCACAAATGCCCCCACCACACACGGAGTCTCTTCCAGGCACCCCCAGCCGCCAGAGACACTGGAATCCAGTGCGTTGTGAGAACAAGGCATTGTTCAGTAGTCACAAAATATCAAATGTCCGGTATTGCAGTGGCCAGAACCGGGTGCTAGCTGACCAGTTCAACATAGAGTAAAACTGCTCCTCTGTTAATGCATCCCAAGGTTACAGAGGTCTCCTAGGACAGCCAGGCCTTCACACACACACTGTTGGTGAGGCAAGTGTCCTTTACTGTGCATCTGGTTTTCTCTATTTAAATGCAGAACGCCACATTTCTCACCACTGGACTGCATATTATCAGAAAGGGCCCAGTGTCAAATCTACTGGCATCCCTTTGAAGGTTGATTCTGGCCACCAAATCGTATTCTATGTCAATCCTGCAAATACCACCCCATTTAGAAAACACGTGGTAGGAGGAAATCAAACAGTCTCTCATCATCATGGGTTGATGCTATTGGCACGGAGTTTATGCTGACCCAGCCAGCGTAATGGCACAGCACCCCAGTAATAAAACCTCCACCCTCCAAACAACGGCTAGTTCCTGGGACTGGCGTCTTCTACTACAACCCTCCCAAGGAAAAGCCACTGCCAAAACCCACATCCTGGAGAGGGACCCTGGTCAGGATCTTAACACACGCACACGTAACAACATGAAAAACGGCATTGCAAATGCTCTGGAGCCAAGTATGACCATTCCACCTTGTTTTCTTTTTTTCCCCCTCCTAGTGTGAACTTTTCACTTTCACAAACAAAAATGAACACCCCCCTCCACCCAACGATCTCTTCGCAGAACTGCTGCTCTTTGGCGATGCAATAGCAGCCAACACCTCCCAGATGCAGTTCTCCACAGCTGGGACTCCAGCAGCACAAATGCGACGGACGCCAAGTGGGCACCTCCAGGGCAAGACTGCCCCCCCCCCGTTCTTCCAGGGCTCAACCTTTTAGCAGTCAGGATTTCTCTTTGGTAAGGAAGTCTGTGACCAAGATAAGCAGCCAGCTTCCGATGCAGCGGAGACCCGGAGACCCTTTGACAGAGAGGCCAGGCTGACCGGGCACTCGCTTTACGCCAGTTTTCAGCTGCAGTTTTCAAACTGACCGAAGAACAAAGAAGCCAAACTGGGGGGAGGGGGGGAGGAAGGGAATGGAGAGGGTTTGATCCAAGATTTACGAAGAGATGGCAGGATTGCTGGCAATGGGTGGATGCAAGACGAAGCAGACCGCCCAGCACAGAGGAGGGGGGGGTCGCCAACTTGTGCCCCCTCTGCGAGAGGAGGGAAGCAGCCCTCCTGGCCCCCTTCGGGCCTCCAGGAAGGAGGTCTCTACTCCTCGCAGGGGCGGTGGGACAAGGTCCCTGCTAAGGCGGGGAGGGGGCTCCCCCTGCTCTGGAGGGAGACGGGAACCGCCCCGAAGGAATCTGCCCCGTCAGCCTGCAGAGCAGCAACGGGAATCTCCCGGGACCGAAGTGGGTGCCCCGAGAAGGGCGTCCACGGCCCACGAGCCTCGCCCCTCCCGGAGACTCGCTCCCAAAGCCGGCCAGGCTGCGGAGGCCCCCAGCAGCCCCCGCCCCGGCCGAAAAGGGAGATCGGGTCCGTCGAGAAGCCCGCCGCACTTTGGGAGGCTCTGGTCGGGCAGTCCGAAGGGCGACCAGCCGGGGGCCGGAGGGGAAATCCCAGGCCGGGCGGCCGCGTCTCCCCCTCTCCATTCAAACTCCCGCAGGGCAGTTTCCGCCTCCGCCGACCCAGCCGGGCGGCGGGCTCCACCGTCGGCCGCTCCGCTCCGCCCCGGGCATAAACCCAGGAGGGGAAGCGCGAACAAAGGGACAAAGCGGCGGCTTTCCCCCCTTCGATCGCCCACCCGCCGGCCCGCCCGCGCTGCTCCAGCCGCCGGGACCGCCCCACCACCACCCCCCGGCGCCCCTCGCCCGCTCTTACCGGCAGCGGTCCGTCGCGCGACGGAGCCCGTCGGAGGCAGCCCGCCGAGTCCGAGCGGCCACGCGAGCCGCCCGCCTTTCCCCCCCCGAGGGCGTGGCCTGGGAGCCCGGAGGCGGGGCCGCCGCCGCCGCCGCACGTGGGGGGGGGCGGGCTTGGGAGCTAGAGGCGCGGCCCCGCCCAACGGGTCGGGAGCGCGCGAGGGACGCAGGCCCCGCCTACCGCGCCTGCGTAGCGCGGACGGGGCGGCCCTTCGCCGGGAGCGGGAGCCATGGCGGCGTTCACGAAAGCGGCCAAGTCGCGGCAGCGGCAGCACCTCGAGCGGGGCCAGGTGGGCTCCGGGGGGTCGCGGGGGGGGGGCGGGAGGCGGGTGCTGGCCGGGGGGATGTCTCTTTCTCCCCCCCTCCCCCACTGACTGCGCGTTTCCCCTCAGCTGGCCTCGCGAAGGGCGCTGGGGCTGCTCGAGAAGAAGGGCGACTACCGGCTGCGCGCCGCGTGAGTGACGGGCCTCGCGGGCGGGGGGGGCGGGGGGGTCTCCCTGGGGCTGCTGACCCCGCGCCTTTCCCCCGCAGCGACTTCCACAAGAAGCGGGATGCGTTGCGGGCGCTGCGCCGCCGGGCGCAGGAGAAGAACCCCGACGAGTTCTACTTCCGGATGACCCGCGAGCGGCTGCAGGTGGGTTGGGGGGGCGTGTGGGGGGGTGTAGGTGGCCCCTCCAGCCCGGGCTCCGCGGGCGTGGGCCAGGGGTGGCCGAAAGGGTCCCGGGTCCTCTGCCCTCGGAGCCCGACGCCCGCTTCCTTGCCGGCAGGACGGGGCGCACCTGATCGGCCAGCGGGAAGAAGAGCCGCCGCCCGAGCAGCAGAAGCTGCTGAAGACGCAGGACCTGAAGTACGTGGAGATGAAGCGGGCGGCCGAGGTCCAGGTGAGAAGACCCCCTTCCCGGCAGGGCTGT